GTCAATTTGCAATGAATTTTCTTGTGAGAGTGAGAGAGAGAGGGAGGAAGAGAGAAAAAAGAAATTAAATTGAATTTTTTTTGTTGTAAGCATAAAATAGAAGAGGAGACACGAGAAGAGCGACGATTGATAATCAAATTGGTGCAGTTTTTGAAGGCCTCCATCTCTTCAGCTATTCTATACACTTCTCTGTGTTGACTCAATGAATAAAGCGCTGCTTTTGTTTAGTTGATTCAATTTTATTAAACATCTTTTTTTTTTTTCTTTTTCTTTTCCTAAAACAAAAACCATTAGAAATTAACAAAAAAAGAAATAAAAGAAGAAAAAGCAACCAGCAACCTTATAAGGCGACAGGAGTCAGAAGTGACGTAAGGAAAAAAAAAAAGATGTTTAATAAAAGAAGACTTGAACTTAGGATAGTTCTCTCTTTTCTCCTTCCTTTTTTTTAGTATTCTATCCTGCCTTCTCGTCTTCGTCTGTTTCCCTAAAATGAGTAAATTGGTCTCATTTGATTAATAAAGTTAACAAGGCAAAAACAGATTGATATCTGTCGGGTTGATTGGTGTCAAATTTTGGCTGTACCGTTTTTTGATGGGATAAAATTCATAAGAGTAACAACAGATAAAAAAACTTCGCATTTTTTTTTCTGCTATTTTAAAATTTATTTAAATAATAATTGTCTGTGAATCAATTTTTGATTTGATGTACATCAAAAAGAAATTTTTTTTTTTAACCTTAAATTTAATTTACATTTTGCTAAAAATTATATGGCATACTGTTTTTTGTTTTGGAAATTCGATTCTTAAAAACCCCAAAAAAATTGTTTTGTTTTTGTTCGGTTCATCTATTCGTCTTTTTTGGACACTAATCGGCAGATAAAACTATGCAACAGTTGAGAAGGATTTGTGATGAATACAAAAAAAAAAAGTATCTTTTTAGAATTGCCGAACAAATAATACCTAAGATTTTACTTGAACTCACTGCTTAGAAAGCCTGTTTTTTTTTTCTCAGTGACTTAATAAGACTAAACTATTTAGCTGAAAATGATATGACAACTTCTTTTCGGTGTGCAACTTTTCTGGTGGAATTAAAGTTTGTTTTTTTTTTTTCCGCAAAATTCTTTGAGCTTCTTTTGAATTGCCGTCTCTGAGAATTTGGTTAGAATTTTTTTTTGCTTTTTGGCTCAGCTTTTCCCCTTTTTTTTTTTTGTTATCATTGTAAAATGGATTTATTA